GAAATATATTCGTAAGTGGATGGATGATATGCACCCGATAAATTTGATATCTGCCAAATATCATCTCTTGATATCTTTTCCATTTTTTGTATCTGATTAGTTAATTGATCTCGTAAATAATTGCAAAGATTAGACGAAGGCCAATATGCAAGGTTCAATTTTTCCCAAGTTCTCAATATTTCACTAGTATCTTTTAATTGATGCTCGCCTAAATATTTACACCACGCGGAAATATATCTTGTAATACTCGACATTAAATTTAAGGCCTTTTCATAATCTTCCCGAATGTCCATATTTTGCGATAAAAGAGAGGATGAAAACGTAATCATCCAGTTTGCTAAGAAATCAACAGAATCTCTTATAATCTCGCTCGGCTGTGCACCATATTCTTTAATATTACCTGATTCAGAGTTTTGGACACGAATCCAAATTTCCAAAAGTCTGAAGAAAGATGTTGCTATTCCCAGCTTTTGTCTCATTTGATAATTATCAACATTTTTCCATTCCCATGGAGGAGTGAGAGAATATAATATTTCTCTAACTAAATACCAATTTACAATACAGTATGTTTGTGAAAATATTTCATGATAAAGTCCATATGCAGCGAGAGTTTGGTAAATGCGCAGTGTTTCAAGAAAAAAGTTATATCCAACATTCACTTCAAGTTCATTAGAAAATGATGCAGGATTGATTGTAATATATCTCAAAAATGTATTCATATATTTGTTTATAATTTCTTTACTGATTTTTTTTGAGGATTGACACAATATATGAATGAGTTTAGCAGCAGTCAAGTTCGGATATTTTGAATCATTTGAAGAACTATCATTGTTATCCACAGGTGGCCAAGCCAAACATAAAAACTTTTCATGAACGACATCTAACAACCTATGACATTCAAATATAATTTTGGCAGTTTTTCGTGAATGACGTGCAAAGCGAACAAGCATAAGCAAAATTTGTTCACTTGTGACGTAAGGAAGTCTTACAGTTTCCAAAAGATATAGTAGTCTGTGAGTGATATCCATCGAAATAAGCCCCGCAATTAAATCTTTTGACGCAAGTTTAATATGATTTTCCGTTGTATCATATTCACCCTCACCAATTTCATACGCATTGATCCCAATTCCAAAATAATTTTTTGTTTGTGCATCATCTTTTCCTCTAAGAGAAGGAAATTCGTATCCACGATATAATCTATTAGCTTTCTCCCAGAGTTTCTCTTCTTGATAAAATTCATTCGATCCGCCAATAATCCAAGCAGATATAACATCGACAGCAGCTATAATTACAGTCTCAAATTTATCATCTAATGCCATTCGTAGATAAGTTGGAAGCTTTAATTTAATTGCCCAATCTATAATTTTTCTTCCAGTTTCAATACCATAATAACCTACTCTGACTTTCCTTATTATTCTTCCAATGATATTTAAAGGAATAGTTCTTTGACTTGGAACCATACTTCTCGTTAGATAAAGCAATTCACCCATCGTGTAACCAGCTTGATCAGGCTCGGCACCGTGATGATGAAGGCCTATATGCGAGGGAACATCAGAGTCCTTATCTATTATCTTTCCATTGAAATCGAATCTATACGATGCTTCAGGAGGATCTAACGGAGTTGTAACGCAAGGATCATCATACTTTTCATTTTGAGGTTTATAAGAAGACAGTGTTTTATCATTTTTGAAGTTAACGCCCATCCATTCTAATTTTTCATATTCGATGGGAGTATCAGAATAGAATTTTTCCTTCATTTCAAGTAACATTGATTCATCATTTTCTAATGTTTTAGGACTTTGATCTTGACGATTTAAAGGTTGATAACTTGATGTCTCATTTAACCTTTGAGCTAAAGTTTTCCCTTTCATTAACTTTTCAGTGAACCCTGGTTTCAGAGATTTTAATAACATTTCTCTAGCTTCAGTTATTTCAGCGTCAGTCATATTTTCAATATACTGAGTAGTTTCCCGGTCAATTTCCATATAATCACTTTCAGGGATTTCGGGATCAATATTAAGTTTGGGCACCTCAGATTTCGGCTTTACATTTTCATTTA